TGTGTGGCTTTTAGTTGCCAGCTGGGCCAAACCACCCCAAGTTCAAAATAAATAAAGCTATGTTTAGTGCTGAGTTAGCAAAATATGCTCTGCTTCTGTCTACTTGTCTAGGATCTGGTTTTGTTTGACCTCATGACAGCGTTTAATGACAGAAGCTGAATATTCTCCAAAAACAATAAGTGTACTGTCTTGAAAAGAGTGGTTCTTGCAGGGAGCTACCTCAAGCCAGCTCTAGTACAGGAGGCCAGATGTGATTTGCTAATAATCATTATTATTATTTTTTTATTCCAAAATATTTTTTCATTTCAAGCTCCAAAATATGAATGCTCTGTGTGCATTGGTAATATTTTAATTTTTTGTCTATTTTGTACTTTTTCCTTAGCCCTTGAATGTTGTGGCCTGGTCTCCTTGCGGGCAGTATCTGGCAGCTGGAAGCGTGGATGGGAGTATAGTGGTATGGAATGTGGAAACCCACGAGTGCGTAGAGAGGTACTCAGTGTTATTCCGTAAATCCCTAAGTACATGTTTTTCCTTCAAATAGAATTCTGTTATCTTTTCTGTAAAACTTATCAGTGCAAATGTAGGACTCTGCCTCTGGAAAAGCCTTAAGCTTTACAGGGCAAATCTGTTAAGTTTTCTGCTGCTGTTCCACTGCAAATGAGCACCTCAGGAGGCAGCGTATGAGGGCTCAGATTGAAGAATACCGTCTGCCTGGCCTCATAGATGGTCTCCCAGCTGGTGGTAGAGCTGGGAGCGCACCTCAGAGAGGGAGCCAAAAGGAGCTGTGCCAGATCTGGGTGGCACTGGGAGGCAGGGCCACCGCTCAGGCTAGGCTTGAGCAGAGGAAGCAAGAGGAGGGCTCTTGTGCAACCCGAGTGAGGTTCACTAGTCTTGCAGTTCGCACGCTGAAGGGAGTTCAAGGGCTGCCATGTCACTTCCATGTTCTACAAGCAAGCAGCTTCCAAAAGAGAGTAACTCTTGGTGGTAGGTAGAAATGTGGCGTTGCTTTGCCTTCCCCTACCATATCCAGTATGCACAGAAGTATCTGGTTCATATACTGTTGTCCTTTGCATAGCTAAAGGATCTGGAAACATTTCATTCTTAGAAGTAGAACAGGGAAGGAACATGAATGTGGATTTTGTTCAAATCCCATGGTCTAGTTTTCTGTGTGCAAATAGCTTTTATTACTTTTTAATCTAATAATTGATTGAAGGATCGTTTTGATGGTAAAAAATTTTCCTCACATCCCAAACCCCAAGATCATGGGCAGTAAGATGTATTTTCTAAGGGGAGAGGGAAATACAGATACATCAGTCAGCCATCCTCACCTGTAGGCAAAAAAGGACAAACTGACAAATTGCACATTATCTTGGTTAGTTAAGGCTCTTTCTTTCAAAAAAAAAAAAAAGAGAGGAGGGAAGGTGGGGGGGGGGGGGGGGGGGGGAAGAAAATATATTATTAAGTTAGGTAGGGAGGAAGAGAAGAGACGATTTATCTGTCTGAATATTTTGGCTAAGAAACAGAAACATGATTGTTATTGTAACACCTATGTTTAGGAATTGAAGACAGATTATGTAAATAATTAATGGGAGGAATTTTTGTGAGAATAAAGGCTGGAAAAGATAGAGGATTAACTCATCAGTTTGATACAAGAGAAACAACTGAATGTTCTTTTTATAACTGGATGGTTCTGGAATGTGTGACTGCTGGGGAATTACTTTTGTCTTTTTCACATGCATCAGGAAGCTCTTGTTTTAAGAACATGATTCTGTTTGATTTTTTTAAAGCTTAAGTGATTTCCTGCACAGAAAAGGGAGACCTGCTGTATTTTTTTATAGTAGCTGTTTATGCCAAAGATAACCTATTAATTATTTTATTACGCGTGACATCACTGTAACATCACTTTTCAATAGTAGCAAACGTTACCGCTTTTTACAATAACTCTTCTGGATGTTTCTGCCCTGAGCAGCTTCTGCAAATCTGTTATTTTATGTTCTTTTTAGGATGAAGCATGAGAAAAGTTACTCAATTTGTGGACTAGCATGGCACCCCAGATATAGGCAAATTGCTTATACGGATACTGAAGGAAATCTGGGCTTGTTGGAAAATGTCGGTGATGGAAAGAAACCGAACGACAAGGTGATCAGTATCAATTATTTCTTAAATTAACATCATTATTTAGGTTACCAAATTACATTGAACGTTCTGTATCGTGTGTTGGAAGTTCCCTCTTGTGTGTTAATTCATTCTTTGAATACCATGTCCAAAAGAAGTTTTCTGATAACTGTTAATCTGGGTTTAGGTTGCCAGTACAGTGACAAAAGACTACAACGATCTCTTTGATGGAGATGATGACGAGGACTATTTAAATGGAGATATGGTAGAACCACAGTCTTCCCCAAAGGCTGGAGCTAATGAAGATGATGGTGGTGATGATGACCTTATGCCAACTTCAGGTCATCCGAGACGGGCAATAATTGATGATGATGATAACTCACTAGGTACTGAGTGAACTCATTTTCCAGAGCTCTTTAATGTTGTTATTGGGACGATCTCTTAGCGTTCTCTACTCAGATATATTCTGCCTTGTTTTTCCAGAGAAGTCATGACTCTCTTAAATTTTTTACCTATACTCCTTCATAATAATATGTGTAAAATGTTTTTTTTTTTTAAAAAAAAACTCCTAGATATCGGGATGATAAAAGCTAATTCCACTCTTCTTGAAAAGGAAGATGATGATGATGATCAGACTGGTGGCTTTCCAGCTGCACCACCATCATCTACACAACGACCTTTCTATGATGGGCCAGTGCCAACCCCAAAGCAAAAGCCGTTCCAGTCTGGCTCCACTCCTGCACATCTCATGCATCGTTTCATGGTAAGTCTCGCTGCTGTGTGGTTATGTAGATCTAGTTGCTCTGTTAAATTGTCCAGTTCTCACTGTGTCTTAATCTGATCTTTTCCAAGATTTGTGATTATTTTTTTTAACAATTCACAGCATGAAGCTAAATGGTGGAAAGTAGCTTTGTGTTAATGCAAAGGCTGCGTGATATTATGTTTTGTTTTAGCTGCTTTTGATGTAGAAATGAATACTTGGGTTAAGACAAAAGCAAGCTTTACAGTTTGTACCTGTGCTGTTGAATTCTAGCAGATCTTTATAAAAATTCTTTTTTAGCCTGAACCTGTGGATATTTTTGTGCTGTTAAGACTTGTATGTTATCCCCCACTATTTCTTTCAAAATGCAAGTTCTTCACACTTAATTTTGTAAGGAGAATGATAGCTAAGTAATGAGGATGAAACTAATTTCTGCCTAATTGCGCTGGTTTAGAAACTATAAGTCCTGTCTACATAAGTCTTCAGTCTTCTTCCAGCCTCCTACCTACTGTTGTTTCAGAAGAGAAGGTTGTTGCAAGCTGGTTTAGGGCAGTATGCTTGATGTGTTTTGTTGTTTGTTTGTTTGTTTTTTGTGGGGGTGTTCTTTTTAATAGGTGTGGAATTCCATTGGTATCATTCGCTGTTACAATGACGAGCAAGACAATGCTATAGATATAGAATTTCATGATACATCCATACATCATGCCACACACCTGCCAAACTCTCTGAATCACACGATGGCTGACCTTTCCACTGAAGCTATTCTACTAGCCTGTGAGAGTACAGAGGAACTTGCAAGGTAAGTCATGGCCTTGCTCTGCAAGACCCGTACTACGGAATTATTTCAGTTTATTTCAAATATTTTGGCTTTTAATTTCAGCTTCTATTGCTTTTTGAGATTTTTGCCTTCTGATGGTGCTTTTTATTTGTGGGACCACTTTCGAGGAGGATTTTCACACCCACCCACTTGAAGTCTTCAAGAATATTGAAAGATGTATTTTGTTTTCTGAAGTTTTTTTTTAAATCTCTATTTCAAATATGTATATATACTGGAAACTTCATGCATTGCTAGCTCAAAGGAAATTGTAAACATGAACAATAGTTTTTCAGTCTGCTCAGATCAAAGGCAAGTCATAAGGGCTATGCTTTTTCTTTTCACACTGTTGCTAAGGAGATATGTTTGGAGATACCCAAAGAATTAAAAGTGTGAGGAGCACAAGTTTATGAAAACCATAGAAAAATTTAAGCAACTGGGCCAGCTAGACTGTGTTGTTGCATTTAAGAACAATAGCAATGATGTTTCATTGCTGTTTTCTGTGGAACTATCTTGAAGAACTTTATTCTTATTTTCTCACATACTGCATTGTGATAAGTTGAAAAGCACCCTTTAACTTTGAAAGTATTATTTGTATGTGTTGGTTGTCTGACTCTGAAAATGTCAATTTTTTTTTTTCCTCAATGGAAGCGAGTAATCTCTCAAAAGCTGTGGTGTCTGCGAATTGGTCATGGGCAGTTTGCAATTATTCAGATGGCAGAACTGAAGTTCCTAGGTTTTTTTTTTTTCCCCTTGAAAGGTAGCATAATATGGCAGACTTGTAATGAGGGCTGATACTCAAGGATACTGAGTACCTTCAGTTCTTATCAATGTTAATTAAGCAGGACACTTACCTGCTTCCATCTAAAAAAAGCTCCCCTCAGACCTCTAAACTGTCTCTGCTTCAGGCTTTAGAGGCTCTAAATCTACAGTGCTGGAGGTCAAGTTGGCTTTTCAGCTCTTGAATAATAAGAGCAACGCCTTTGCAAATGACCACTTGTAATTTGTAGTTCCTTTCTATGACCATGACAGATTCCAGGTCTCTGATAAAAATGTAATATGTTGGTATATTTTCGGCTATTTCTTCATGTTGAGGTATTTGACTATTGTTCTTTGTCTCTGCTTTAGCAAGCTCCACTGCATTCATTTTAACTCATGGGATGCAAACAAGGAGTGGACAGTAGATATGCCAAAGGATGAAGACATTGAGGCCATCTGTCTAGGTCAAGGCTGGGCGGCTTGTGCCACTAGTGCCTTGCTAGTGCGTGTGTTTACGGTTGGAGGAGTTCAGAAAGAGATCTTCAGTCTCCCAGGTCCTGTGGTGTCTATGGCAGGACATGGAGAGCAGTTGATGATTATTTATCACAGAGGTAGTTTTCTCCTTTCTGTCTTTTTTTTAAACTGGGATTATGTTTTCAATCCTTATCAGTTACTGGCTTCAAACACTGGTTAATTTGGTGTTAATCACCAGAAGTGTTTTCTCCTTCTTCTCTTCTTGATGCTTATCTTCCTCCTCTTCTTGATGATGCTTTTACTGTCACAACCCACAGATCTTTGACTCCTGACAGCAAAGCCTACATTTTATATTGGGATGCAATAATAACCTGAGGGGGAGGGGAGAATTTTATAACATTGACATTAATAGATTAAACTTGAGTTTCAGATATTCCAGAATGAATTACTGTAGGAAATTAAGGAAGTAGTTTTTATGCATGCTTTGTATGTCCAAAGTGACAAATAATTGCTTGTCAGACAGTGGTATCTGTGGATAACCCTGCATTAGAATTAGCTTTTGATTAAAAACTTAAATTTAGCCAAGAGATAAGACTATTCTTTTGTTTTCTAACATAGTCATTGAACAACTTCTTCCTAGGTACTGGGTTTGATGGAGACCAGTGCCTCGGAGTACAGCTGATGGAGCTAGGAAAAAAGAAAAAACAAATTTTGCATGGAGACCCTCTTTCTCTTACAAGGAAATCCTATTTGGTATGGGTTGGATTCTCTGCAGAAGGTATGAAGTACCTGCACGAGTGATGTTGAGAAATCTTGATGCTATTGGGGGAATTTCGAAGGACAGTTTGGCTAATTAATGCAATTTTTTTAATGGTGATCTTGGGACTTAGACTTTTTTTTCTGATCTCCTCAATACTAAACAAAAGTCTATTTTTCTATTCTTTCAATATACTTATCAGAAATCTTTTAATATGTTTCCAGGGTGAATAGAATACACTTGAATGTTATCAGAACTTGTTTTCCCAACTGGTTACCCTGCTCAGCAAAAGAAATAAACTGCATTAGTACACCATAATAGGCATATTCAACTATCTTGGCAAAGCCCTCCCAAGAAAAGTTGGTAGCCTGGGAGAAGTTCTTATGACAACCAAAAAAACTACTTGTAAAATAGCTAATTTTCTTTGGGAATCTACCAAAGTAGTATGAATTTGATTTCTTCAGAAAATGATTTGAGTTTGAACTTGAGTCAGTTCACAAGCAGTAGTGTTGACTGTCAGAAGGTGGCGCATCTTTCCAAGGAAACTTCTTTTTCTCAGCTGTGTTGTACCGTTTGGGTGAAAGGATGTCGTATTTGAGATAAGTAAACCATTGTTTCCCAGCAGTATCCGGCAGTTCCTACTTACTTCACGTTGTAATTAGTTGCCTGTCAGAATAATTGTTTTCACTGGTAACAAACAGGTACCCCGTGTTACGTGGATTCTGAGGGAATCGTGCGGATGTTGAACCGAGGTCTTGGGAATACTTGGATTCCAGTGTGTAACACAAGAGAGCATTGCAAAGGAAAATCTGATCATTATTGGGTAGTTGGCATCCATGAAAATCCTCAGCAGCTCAGGTCAGATATTTCACAAGGAAACGCTTTGTCTGTCTTGGTTTTAATTTACAGAACACTTCTCAAGAAGAGAAACTGGGAACGACTTTTTCTAAAACAGGTGGTTACTAAACATGCCCAGTAAATGATCTAGTTCATAAACTTAATTCTGCATGGGTGTTTCATTACTAAATTGGTTTTGAATAAACTCCATTAGGGTTTTATAATTTGTAACTGACTAATTGTGGTTTTTTGTCTTGGCCGACAGGCCTGTGCACTTTATTATGAAATCACACATCTCTGATGCAGACACATACGACTGCGTTTTGCTAGAGAAACCTGCTAAAATGTTATGGTTCCTGTTAGGAATCTGCTTCTGCTGTTGATGGTTTTTGAGGGTTTGGGTTTTTTTAAATTTTATTTTTTCTTGCTTAGCTATGTTTTTCCTTTGAGAAGAATCCAATCCTATAACTAATCTACATCATTACTCACAGATAAATCAGAACTGTTGTTAGATTAATATTTAAACTGCAGCCATGAAGACAATTTTGTATGTAAAATTGCTGAAGTGTTTAGCTGAGAGTTAGCCATTACTTTATCAAATATGATAGTGGTGATGTCTAAATAACTCTGGTTTTATGTATTTTGTAGACCTTTAGTTGCTGAGCTTTGCTTCTAGTCCTTTTTTCTTCAGTAATCTATGTCATTTTCCTGCCAGGGCAGAATCCATCAGCTCGCATATTTTACTGAAATTTAGGCTCTCTTACTTTGCTAGTCACGCGCAATTGTAGAGGTTGGTGGGAGACTGCATTTTATTTAAATTTATGTGACATTCTAATCCTCTGGTTTTTGTAATAAGGGGATGATTTGCTATCACTGGTAAATGTCAATTCACTGTCCGTTTCTTTCTCCAAATCATTAAGTAATGTTGGCCTCCAGAAAATGCACCAAAAATGCACCAAAATTGAGAGGGTCAACTATGAGTCTGACATCATGAGTAGAAGAAAAAAAACTCCAAGGAAGAGAGTGCTATTCTGAGTTGCAAAGAACATATTATTCAAAACCACTAACATATTGAAGATAGGAAGGGGGAAGGGTTGTTGCAGAAACACCACACGCCTTAATTAACGCAGATAACCAGAACACTAATGCTTCCTGTGCTTTTTTTTTTCCTAGTGTCTGAAATAGTAGCTTATAAAACCAGACGTTTTTGTCAGCGCTGCATTGGTGCTGCTGGCAATACAGCTTTTCCCCAATCAATGTTTTGCTTAAGTGATTGTTACCAAAAGTACTAGCTTAAATATAATGGAAGAGTGAGCCAATGCTTCCAGTGGATGCTGATCTTTCATCCCCCTCCCTCCCTGTTGTGTGTCTGAACGTATCACTGTAGTTAAGTCAGTAATTTAATTACTACTTTTTAAAGAACAAATCCTCTTAAAGTATCTTGCTTCTTAGGAGGCATGATTTAGATGCAGAAGGACTGGTGACTGTGGGTGATGAGGACTGTATCTGGTTTTTGTTTCCCTTGCACAGGTGTATTCCCTGTAAAGGAGCCCGATTCCCTCCTACGCTCCCGCGGCCTGCTGTGGCAATATTACCTTTTAAACTTCCTTACTGTCAAGTTACAACAGAAAAGGGACAGATGGAGGTATGGAATGGTGTTGAGTCCACATAGCAGGGATTATGTCCTCAAAGCCAGGTTGGATGAGGCTTTGGGCAACCTGGTGTAGTGGAAGGTGTCCCTGCCCATGGCAGGGGGGTTGGAACTAGATGATCTCTAAGGTCCCTTCTAACCCAAAACATTTTCTGATTCTATGATAAGATTCCTATTAATCATCTCTACTATGAAAGAGGGTAGCACAAACTCAGAGTGAGATGTGGCAAAGGAGGTTATTTGGGTTCAGAGTTTTGTATAGCTTTTCAGGTTTGCTTTGCTTCACAACTTGTTTCTAGCAGAATACAAAATAAAGCTGCTGGAGCTGAGGCAAGATTGTATTTATTTATAATCTATTTCTGACCAATGAAGTATTTCTCACTCTATTTTTTTACTGGGTAGCGGTTAATGTTCTGGAAGGGGGGTTTGTTTGTTTTTTTTTTTTTTTTTTGAAAGATGTACTAAGTACTCAGGTTCTTATAATCCCTCTGAAACAGAGACCTTCAGGCTTGGCTTATCTTCTTAAGGTAGAGGCTGGTTGAAGAAAGATGTACATAAAGAGAACTTATAGAAAAATATCTGTATTTATTCACCAATTATTTATAGGCTGAAATACTTCGATCTGGTGGGATTCGGCTGTAGTGGACAAAATAGAAATGAACAAAGTTCTAATCTCAGCCTTAAAGACCGTTTAACGCTATTTGATTATTTATTTTTTCTCTTCGATAGAAGTGTAGATAAAAAGTTCCAATAATAAATACTTCATCCTTTTTTATGAATTCTCTTTCATTCAGTTAAAGTCTTTTTCTTCTTTATTTGATGGAGTATGTCTTCTCCCTGCTCCCCTCGGCCAAATAATAGAAGGGAGACGCAGGAACTGCTAATTTAGCTTAAGGAAATATGTACTTCTGTATAGATAAAGAAACAGTATTCCAATAGATCTGATGAAAACATCCTAGTTTTGAATAAGTTTCTAATTGTTTTGCAACACAGCCAGCCTGGTCTAATAGCCATACTGGTATTTCCCTGAACAACAAGAGTTATGCTTCCTGTTTACCTGTCTCGCAGATGAGGATTATTCCGACAGTTACTGAGTTATTCTGGAATACTTCCAGTTTGCTGTAGGATAGAAATTATAAAATAAAATAATCAACTTGTTCTAGAATTGTCTGTCCTGGTAGCGAGCTGGTGAACAACACGTAGGTCTCATCCTGCTGGAAGCCTGTAACATCAATGGAATTTAACATCCATGGACACTGATTGGATTAGTTTGTATACAGATGGCTGTTAGGGTGGTCGATTTGTTCTCAGTGGGCATTGGCTTTTAATGAGAATTCTCTACCCCTCACCCTCATTATAAGATTAGAGGAACATTTAAGAATAAATTTATAAAATACTTTGTCAATTATTAGCCATTGAGTCATGGGCTTTTTCCCCCCTTCTGACCTCCAGCATCCATCTTTCTCCCTTTTTCAGGAACAATACTGGCGTTCTGTTGTATTTCACAACCATGTGGATTACTTATCAAAAAATGGCTACGAACTTGATGAAAATGCTACAAGTCAGTCAGTGAAAGAACAACAAGAACTTTTAATGAAACTGTTTGCCGTAAGTACAAATAATTAAAACGAATCCCTGAGACTTTATTTTGAGTCGGTGGCGTTGGACGTAAATTTTGATGTGATTCCTATTATTAGAAGTCTGGCTAGTGACTGGCAATCCAGCTAGTCACAGACTACAATAAGAGGTGGACTACAGTTAGTATTGTTATTGCTTATCAGTATAAACAGTGAGAGGAAGAAGAAAGGAAAAAAAAAAAAAAGAGCTTTTTATTTGCTATACAGCTCATGATTGTTGGTGATTTATCTTTATTCATTCACTCCACCAAGACCAAAATATTCTGGAGTCTTGAGAAAGCTGTGTGACTTTCAAGGCTTCTTTTCTTTCAGCTTTCTTGTAAACTGGAGCGCGAATTTCGTTGTGTGGAACTTGCTGACCTCATGACACAAAACGTTGTGAATTTAGCTATCAAGTACGCTTCTCGCTCTCGAAGACTAAATTTAGCTCAGCGACTTAGTGAAATGGCTGTAGAAAAAGCAAATGAATTGGCAACAGCGCTGGAAGATGAAGAGGAGGAAGAGGATTTCCGAAAGCATCTGAGTGCTGGGTAACACAAACTTCTGTGATTAAAAACCTGGGAATGTTTTACTGAGCTGTTAATGTTTTGATCCAGTTTAGCAAAAAAGCATCTTCTGGAGTGTAGTTTGTTATGAAGTTACAGTTTCTGCTGCTCTACTCATAAATTGTACATATAAAATGGGATGTTCTTGTTGATATCTGGTACTCATTACTAGCAGGATGCTAACACAAAGTGAAATATCTCTGCTCCTTGCTTACTGCATGTCTGTGTACAGCAGCTTCAGAGGCAAAGCAGATTCAATACCAAGTGTTCTGATTAATTTTTTTTCCCCCTAGCTTGTGCTCATTTGGTTACTTGACTCCAAGCTTTTTTAAGGAAAAAACCCAAATTTTTTTTCCCTCTAGCTTGTGCTCATTTGGTTACTTGACTCCAAACTTTTTTGTTTTTAAGGAAAAAAAACAAATTTTTTTCCCCTTTGTATCAGTCTTTCTATCTCACTTCATTCCACACCCATCTTAAAATCCTGGCTTTCTCCAGCCTTCCTCTCTGTCAGTGTGCCATCTCAGTGTATCCTATTTAGTCTTATTCCCTCCTAATTAATCCCAGCTTTTCCAGCCCAAACCATTCTATGATTCAAACATGGAAATACTACAGGTTTGCTTTGCATTTTTTCCCCTCTGTATCTGTGCTATCTACCTTTCCTCTCCTACCTGCATCTGCTTTGTAAAGCATGATGAGACAAGACATATGTGTTCTTTTTTTCAAAAAATACAGGCCATGCAGAAGAGCTGTGTTCTATACCTCTGGATGGTACAGCTATAAGGAAAGTGGTTGTTAACCACCAGTCTGATAGTGCAGAAGAAATGTTATGATGTTTCGTGAGAAGCAATGTCTTCCTGTAGCAATTTTATGTATGAGGGTTGGAACTTACTTAAGCAAGAGAACGTGCTAAGTCCCTGAACTTAGCTGTAGCCTTTCCCTTATTTTTCTGTGTGAAACTGCATGTTTAAAACTCCTTTCTAAATGCTCTGCCTTGTTCTTCTGGATCGTGAATGGAAGCTGTAATCACGTCTGCGACTTCAGCCACTCTGAGGGTTAAAATTCGTCACAAATACTATATTGTTCTTAGTGCCAGATTGGACCAGAATGTCAGTATTGGATTAAACAAATGAACCATTGGTTTATATATATATATATATTTATATATATATATATACAGGTTTTAGTAATTAGCAAAGATTAGGAGGGAAATGCAAGAAATGTACATACTACTGTTAGGAATTCAGAGAATAATCAGATTAAATAGATTACATTTAGATTAGATGTAAGGAAGAAATTCTTCACTCTGAGGGTGGCGAGGCACTGGAACAGGTTGCCCAGGGAAGTTGTGGCTGGGCCCCACCCC